CTAATCTGGTATTGATGCATTACTTTCTTGGAATTGATATAACTCGATCTGAATATGAGATCTTCATTTTACCTCAATTTTGAACCTCGAGAATTTGAAGAATGTTATAAATTTGAAAATCTCTTCTACCCTTTTCCGTTCTTCAATGATTCTTCATCTTCTCTATCTTGTTAGCATTGTTGCATATTTCTAGAATTCATTAGAGATTTTTGGGAAGCAAGCAAAATCAAAATATAAAATAATGAAAATATTAGAAAATTCTAGAATTCCTTAAGGACCAAGTAAGATAAAATAATGAAAAAAATAAGAATTTTTTAGATGTAAGCCACCAACTTTTGTATGCTATAAATAGGGATTGTCACTTCAAAGTTGTATGTAGAAGTCTAAAAACATTGCTATTGTAAAAGTCTTCTGCCATTGTAAAATTATATTTTTCAATAAATTGATTTTCCTCATTCAATTATCTTGTCCAATTTAAAATTACTCCATAGTATTTTTATTCTACAAAATAAACTTCAGATAAACTACTAAATATTTCCAATCTAATTTACTTATTTCTCCTACCAACTATAAAATATGATCACATCTCATCTCCATCGCCATTCTTCAAGGTATTTTCAACCATCGCTATCTCCATCTCGATATTCAAGGTTTCTTCATTTTATTTGATTAAATTTGATTTGTTTTTTGCTTCTAATATTGATGGATAATGTATTTTTACCTTTAATATTCAAAGAGTTTTTTTTTTTAAAAAAAATTGTTGTGTTGAAGAAATTCAAATTTATAAAAAAGTCACAACAAATCTGTTATTCGTTAACAGTGTCTAAGGTGTTCGTGGTCCGGATGAAGAAATCCCGCCTTTTTAATTTTGAAATGAAGGGTATTTTTGTCTAATGTTAAAAAAGTCACAGTGGTGAATAATTAGTAAATTAAGCATATGTGCTGGATAAAGTATTTAACGTCGTTGTCTTATAAACGCGGCCTCAAATTTGGGGGAGAGGCAAAAAGGGAGTTAGGATACTTTTAAAATCAGCTCGATCAAACCCCCAACTTTTCACTTTAAATTTTCAACATTTGCATATTTTCATAATGACTTATTGGATGTTAAAAGACAAATATGCCCTTAAGTATGTTATACAATTACAAAAATATTGTTTTGTTTAAAAGACAATACTTCCCTTTTAGTTAACAAGTAAAAATCAAACACATTCCACTTAGAATTCAAAATCAGATAACCTTTCTTATCTGTTTATTCAACACAGATAAAAATTATCTCATTTTTCACTAGTTGCAACCACAAAATCTAAGAAATTTATTGAACGCTAAAGAAAAAAATATTTTTTTATATTTATCACTTCGAATCGATAAGTATATTTACCTCTATTTAATTTCTTTTTCATCAACTCCAATACAATAGTGAAACTATCAAAACTGCTATTTCAAGTACATTTTTGCGCCATATGTCTCAACTCCGCATCTAGATGGTATTCCATTCTGAAAAAAATTCAAATATTAGAACTTTCAACAAATATAGTGGAATAAAGTATAATCTCAAAAAATTAAGCGGGTCGAATTGTAATTAATATACATAAGAAAATAAAAGAATGTAAAAGTTAAAAGAGAAAAAAAATTACACACAAAAATAAAAAAATTTAATGAAAATAATAAAAAAATATAAAAATCAAAGAAAGAATATAAAAAACCATTTCAAATTGAAAAAAAAAATTAAATTATGATAAACAAAAATAATTAAGAAATTTTAAAAAAATTAAGAAAAAATAATAATAAATTAAATTAAATACAAATTAATGACCAAAAATAAAAAAAGGAAAAAATTAATGAAAAAAGTTATAAAAATATAAAAAAAATGAAGCTAGAATATTATAAAGTATTTTAAATTAAAAAAAAGTTTATTTTTAATAAGAAGAAAACCATTAAGGAATTTTTTTAAATTATTACTAAACAAATTATAATAAAAAGAAAAAAAATAATAAAAAAAGAAATTTATAAAAATTAAATAATGAATATAAATATTATTTAATTAAAATTGAAAAAATTAAATATTTGTTTAAAAAGAATTTTAAATTTTTTTAAAAAAGAAAAGGAAATAAAAAAGAATTTTGTAATTTGATTAAAAAGAATATTTAATTTGATAATTTTCAATTAAAAATTCTTTATTTAATTGAAAAAAAACTAAAATTTCTTAATTTTTAAATTTAAAATAAAATAAACAGTCGGCTAGCGAACCGACTGCTAAGAGTAAGGGACCTGACTGTTAAGTCGTCGTTCGGGTCATTGTTGTCGAAAATTGCCATTTTCAGCGAGTCTAAACTATTTTTTGGCAAATTCGGCACTTAAATCACTACTACATTCAATGAAGAAAAAACATTATAATTATCATAAAATCCACAAATAAACATCATAAAATCTATAAATTTATTAAACATCATAAATGAAAAATCAATTTCATAATCCGCTAAAAAATTAACCTTGTTGATAATAATGTCGTCAGTAACTGGGTTTTATGGTGGTCAAATTGTGAGGATGGCGATTTCGACTAGATTCCGACTATTATAGGGGTGTGTTTGAATCTAATTTTGAGGAGAATAGAAATTTTGGAATAGTGATCGATGTGAGAATGTGTGGTAGAAAAGTGATGAAAAGTTTTTGATTTGTGTGTAATATTTTTTTATTTGAAGATGTGTGGTTGAATTGAAGATTGAGAATGAGAATGAGAATAAGAATGAGAAATTAATGGGTGCCAAACGGGTGCTAGAACGTGTGAGATTTTCCTTTTTCTTTTATCCCCTCAATTCTAGTTTTTCAGACAAGGGTAAAAATGACTTTTGATAAATATACGCTAGTTTAAACATTGTCTTGTGTTGCGGTGATTTCTACTGCAATCACTGAGCTTCTCCATCAACAAAATTGGAAGGTATTATTGGATTTTAATAGTGTAAAAACTGGATCTGATTGTTGTGAATGATTAAATTTCAACTCAACTCCTTATAATTTAATTATTTCTCCAAAATTGTTGTTTCTCAATTTAATCTTCATCTAGCAACAATGATTTCTTCGACAATATTTCTCTTGAATTTTTGACTGGTTGTTTAAGGTTTTTATCCTTGCCTTAAAAACTGGCCGCCGCCCCTCAAGTGTAATAGGGGAAGTACCCAGGAGACCAAAATCTGCCCCCACTAGACCACAGGTGGCTCCGCACTTGTTTAGGGTTCTATGGATGTCTGATACAGGCTAATGTATTAATTTTTTTTCTAGGTTTTGCGGAGTGAATAATAAGGAGAAATGGCGCATAGGTTGCTGAGAGATGCGGAAGCCGATGGATGGGAGCGTTCGGATTTCCCAATCATATGCGAGTCTTGCCTTGGCGACAATCCTTATGTTCGGATGGTATTTTTCACTCGCTTTTGAATTTTTAGGGCTATTCTAGTTTTTGCAGTTTCTTTTCCTTTTTGAGGTATTTCTGTTTAGAAATAAATCTTGAAGCTTATTCATAGATCAGGAGACAATTTCTGTGGACTTCCACTTGGATTCTTTGATTTTTTTTTTCTTTTGTATTTTGTCCAGGTAAATAGGCTTGCCATTTCATGTCAAACACTAAAGCATTTTTCCTTTTCTTTTTTGGTTTGACTTGGTGTCCAACATTCTAGTTTTCATCTAGAGAAGCACGGGATCAAAAACTAATGCATTTCATTAGGCTTTCTCCCACTTAGACGACTGTAGATTTTATTGGATTTAGAAAATCTATTTATCGATGAAGTAATTATATATTCTGATAGCAAAGAACTCCCCATCTGAATCTTACCTTGTCAAAACTTACTGCTTGTTTGGGATAGCTTTACAAGTTGCTAAAAAGTATTAGTTAAAGTCAATTAATTTTAACCACACATTTCATCAATTTTTATTAAAATCTGGCAAAACTTTTATCAAATCCTTCGTCAAATAACTCCTTAAAAGAATTCATGATTTGTGGTAGATTTTTAGCGAGATATAACTTTTTAGAGAAAGAGGGTACCTACCCAACAAGGGTGTGTTAGAAACATTGTTTGGAAGGGAGACGGAGAAATAACATGCTCCAATAATTTCCCAGAGCATATTTTCTATTTAACTAGTTCTCATACATGAAAGTTATTGAGAATAATCTCTGAAAATAAAAATAAATTAGGATGTATTAGATGTATAAACATTTTCAACTGTTTATCATTTTAAGTAAGTAGACTTAACCTATATTTGGTTCATGAAATGAAATAGGGAGGGGGATCGGAAATAGGACAGATAAGAACATTACACTCTCGCTATGGGGAATTCTATGTTCTCTCGCTCAAACTTGTTTAGCACTGGAGAGATTGGTAGGACAGGACAGCTGGTGAGAGAATGAAGATAGAACAGTTGATTTTGTTGTATAATACCACAATACTCTTGTTTTCTCAGTCTACAAATTCTGCCATAGGCTGACTTGAGTGATTTTTTATCTTTTAACCCCATCATTTTGGACCGGAAAGAAAAAGAGTACCTGGACTGGCTTCAATTGTTGTGTTATCTCCCCCTCTTCCCCGACTTACCAAAATCAAGTGTTGTGCTTCCTTTGCTGCTACTTTCAAGTGACAGCTGTAGGCTGGCTTCAATTCTTCTCTGTAGCAAATCACTTTGGAACAATGTGTTTAAACTTTTAAATATTTAACATTATTACATATGTCATTGTTAACTTTTCAATTGAAGTGTCATGTTTATTGGGAGAGGTGTTAAATAAATTGTATCCTTATAATTTTCTTTAAGTGCGTTAATGTGTTTGATGTATTTTTATTGTTGCAATGGTATTTGTGTGTACTTGTTTATGGTCATTTTTTCTACTCAATTGATTGTGGGGTTGTTATTTTTCGTATCTAAGCTGGATCTTACGTTTGAGGTCCTCATATTCTCTAAATATGGTAGGATTGTTGATATAATGTGCATAGGGTATTAGGTTTATGATATAATGAATGTGATCTGATTTCTGCCTTTTCATGTTCATAAGTAATCTTCCGGCTGTATTGCAGACAAAAGCTGATTATGACAAGGAGTGCAAGATATGCACACGACCATTCACTGTTTTCAGGTGGAGGCCAGGGCGTGATGCAAGATATAAGAAGACTGAAATTTGCCAAACTTGCAGTAAGTTGAAAAATGTTTGTCAAGTTTGCCTTCTGGATCTTGAGTATGGTTTGCCAGTTCAGGTCCGAGACACTGCTCTCAGTATCAATTCCAATGATGCCATTCCTAAGAGTGATGTGAACAGGGAATACTTTGCAGAGGAGCATGATCGCAAGGTACGTTTGCTAGAAGCCACATTTCTCCAATATGTTCTATAGCTTAGAAGCGTGAAACGAGCATGCAGATTTCATGTTAAGTAGTTGAAGTACTTATTTCTATAGGCTGGAGTTTCTTAAGATAATGGTGGCGTTGCTTGACGCTGGGAGATATTTTAGTTATTGGTCATGAAATTGCACTTGCTGGAGTTTAAGTTTTTGTCACAACAGAAACACAGTTTCATGCATCGATGTGGAACGTGTGATATAATCAATGTATGATAGAAGAGCCAATTGTGGTTCTTGTATTGTAATTTTGTTCTAAAAAGTGCAACCTTTGAACTGAAATAATATAACAATCTTCAAAGAAAAGATACGTTATTTTACTGATCAACAGGGGACTTATTGATGGCTCCTCAAAAGAATAATAGAGATTGTCAAAGAGGGATCGATCGGAAGAATGAGAATAGATATATATTTGCAATAAATTTCCTGTTGTAATATGAAAAGGAAATGTTTGAGGCTTCAGATATGTATTAGGCATTCAATTGCAGACTTAAATGATCTGCAGTTAAGCAATGAAAGAAAATTATTGATAAGTTTTTAGTTAATTTGGTAATTGAAGATAAATAGCTGGAAAAATTGCCATCTTTCTTTTTTTGTGTATACTTTTGTTACTGTTGTCGATGGATAAGAATCTAATAAATCGGGTTAGTGTCTACCTGCAGTATCGCTGATAACTATTGCTAAGGTGCTTAAAAAGAGTTTGGCAGACCAGTGTAGTGAATTAGTAGTTAATAACAGAATGAAATTAAGAGACTTGATTAATAATTTGAAAAGTGTTATGGATTTTAGGTAAATAAATATATTGGACTTTGGGCATTCCTCACAAAACTGGTGCTCATGAAAGCATACAAGTGGTAGTCAGAAACAGTAGATTTAAGCAATCAATGTCAGTTCCTTTGACTGGGAGAGGTGAAAATGAGGGGATGTGCAGGTGAAATAGGGAGTTCTACCTCCCAGTTCGTGTAATTTTCTCTGTAATCTCAAGTCAGCAAAGGATCATATTATCATATATATGTCAGCTTGAAGTAGGAAATAGTAGAAGATAAACTTGAAATATAACGAAGTTTTTAAGTTGAACCATTTTTATTCAGCAATGTAGACTGAATCATTACTGTATGCAGGCTAGAGCTGGGATTGATTATGAATCTTCCTATGGGAAGGCACGCCCTAACGACACTATTTTGAAACTTCAAAGAACAACTCCATATTATAAGCGAAACAGAGCGCATGTATGCAGCTTCTACATTCGTGGTCAGTGTACAAGAGGTCCTGAATGCCCTTACCGGCATGAGATGCCTGTTACGGGAGAGTTGTCACAACAAAATATTAAAGATCGTTACTACGGGTATGTGAAATGATTAAGCTTTACGTTCATTCAACTTATGTTGGCTGTATTAATAAATATAGTGCGTTGTTCAAGTTTGTTACATGTTTTTCTGTATATATGTAATTATGTAATAATGTCTGCGTTTTTCCATCAGCTTTGTTTAATTGGGAAGCCAGCCCCATATTTTATTTACTTTTCAGGTCTGTGTCTCGTTCTTCTTCTTTTTCTGTGGAGGCGGGGGGAAAGTTAGGGTGGTGGCACCTTATTGTGCACTCTCCTTTTGAACTTCTTAACCCCAAGGAATTTGGTGCAACCAAAACGTTTTGAAATATGCGTTGCATGCTTGGAAATTAATTGGAAACGATACTTGGTTTGTGGTTGGGCATGCAAAGTTATGATTTTTATACAATAATTACAGCCAGTCTTTGCAGTCGCCCCTGCAGTTCGTGCCCACACTTCTCCCGTTGGGGGAAAAGATATACACTCATGAAGAAAATATTTGAAGAAGATTACTCACTTATGGGCAGGATATTTCAGTTCTTCATGATTTTCTTGAGTTTTACATTTTTTCACATCACTGGTGTAGTTTAAAGTGTTTGCTGCAGGGGTTTTTGAAGATGCTATTGTCTTATATTTTTCAACTCCTTGCTGTGCAACATGCCTTTTCATTTCAATCTATTCTTCGTGGAGCTACTGATAGAAATAAAACAAGGCAGTTAATTTGGGGCCTATTTTTAATGTGGCTCCTCTAGTTTGTCTAATGTTTTTATTAAGCTGCTGTTTTCTTGTATGTATTTATATCACTGGGAACAGAGAGAATGGAGCGCTTCTAAGAAAGACAAAACTCTTCAGTATATTGGCAGTTAGTTGTATAATCGCTCATTTTATACGTGCCTGTTATCTACTCTTGCTTGTCGAAGCAATTAATTTCTGGATTGTCCAAACTTCTCACGTTGATCAAGCAATGTAGACAAGCAATTGTCTCATAGTTGATTTTGACGACTTTCAACGAGTTCAGATTCCTACATTATTCTTTTGTGTTCCTTTCAATTATCAAAAGTTCGAGTTAATGACCTTTTGCCTCAACTCTTGCAGAGTTAATGATCCCGTGGCATTTAAGTTGCTCGGTAAGGCAGGCGAGATGCCTTCACTGGAGCCCCCTGATGATGAGAGCATTAGAACCCTGTATGTTGGTGGGCTTGATGCAAGAATTTCTGAGCAGGATCTGAGGGATCAGTTCTATGCGCATGGAGAAATTGAGTCCATTAAGATGGTGCTCCAACGTGCATGTGCTTTTGTGTCTTACACGACACGAGAAGGGGCGGAGAGAGCAGCCGAAGAACTTGCAAATAAGCTAGTCGTCAAAGGTCTTAGGTTGAAGCTTCTTTGGGGTAGACCACAAGCACCAAAACCAGAATCTGAAGCCTCAGATGAAGCAAGGCAGCAGGCTGCCGTGGCTCATAGTGGATTGTTGCCAAGGGCAGTTATATCACAGCAGCAGAACCAGCCTCTTCAACCACCTAGCACCCAGGACCAACCACCACCTATGCCTTATTTCAACATTCCTCCATTGCCCCAGCAGGATAGAGCATATTATCCCTCGATGGATCCCCAAAGAATGGGTGCCCTTATTTCATCACAAGAGGGGCCTTCTAGTGGACCCTCAGGGTCGGGTGAGATTAGAAGTGTTTCAGGGCAGCAGCAGCAGCAGCAAGGACAGCATTATGCTTATCCAGCTATGCCGCCACCACCTCCAGGTCAATTCTACCCGCCATATTATCCACCATATGGTTATATGCTGCCCCCACCACCACCTGCACCTCATCAGCAATACCGTCCCCCTTACCAGTCTACAATGCCCCTGCCCCCACCTCCTCCTGCTGGTGACCAGGCATCATATCAACAGAAAGCACCGGAAGGAACGTCACAACAATCATAGAATTTGCAATGTGCCCATGTCTGTTCAAGAAGATTATGACATCATCCTCATGCACTGTGCCTTCTGGAATGCAGTTTTATTGTGTTTCGGAATAATCTTTCAAGGATATTACAGTCTGCATTTTTCCCTTTGCTAACAGGAACTTTTAATGCTCTTTTGTGGACAACAAAATCCTTTTCTTACAGGTTCCTCGTGCCAAAGTTGTTGCCTTATTCGCGAATTTTTTTTATATTTTAAGTAAAATGACTGGTTTACTTTCTAGTTTTTCCCAAAACTGTTTTGCATTTGAATCCCAAACGTACTAAGAAAAGTTGCTTGTGAACCCCTCACCTGATGACCTTTTCAGTTTTGGGTGATCGAGTGAGCGACAAGCTGAACATATTGTGCATAGGGGTTGTGTAATCAACATGAAAGCGGCCTTCCTGGGGAAGAAGCTACCGCTCTGGTAATCAAACATGCTGAAGCCCCTGTGATCGGGCACTGATTAGGATGAAGACTTGGCCTCTAACGTGGATGAAGTGGTCATGGAGTCAGTGGTTCAACTGTCAACCTAATGATTGAACCAGCAAGTTAATTCCTCAGTAATCTGGGGATGTTGCTCGGCCATTGTAAACTTGTTCGTACGATGACCTGTGAAACAAGCTAGAAAATAGGAAATTGCTAGTACAGAGATTGTTACGAACTTGTAGACTATAAGCATTGTGTAGGCTTAATGTCTCACATTCTCCGCGGGGAAGGTGATGGGGAACATGGTCATTGCTTAGACTTTTATTTTTATCTTAATTTATATTTAAAAACAATAATTTTAAGAAAATAAATAAGTAAATGAGGAAAAAAGACATGGAAGTTGAGACATTTTAAATTACAACGAATGATTTGCAATGTAATGTTACATATTCCGTTACCTGAGAATGCAATGAACATATTAAAATGTAATCACATCGTAACAATGTAACACACGGGCATAAATTTCTTACCAAAAAATAATAATAAAATGATTGTAATAGAAACCAAATATAATGTCAGTTGTTTTGATTTGGATGAATTCTTTTGTTCTTTTTTTATTTTACTATAATAGAATTTGTTGACCTCAATTTTTGATCGGTGACATGGTTAACATATCCAGATTTCATTCACGTCCACTCGTAAAGTTCCTACACACTTAGACAAATGTTAGAAGAGCATGGCCTTCTCTGGTGGTGGTGATGGAGGCTATTGCGAGTACTTTGACAATCAAGTTAGTCAACTTGTATATAAAAATATGTAGATGTGAGATGGACGAAAGACAAGAGCCACGAATGTGTGCATGCACCAGCTTGTAGAGAACAAAAATGAGCAATGTTAGTATGAATGTATAAAATTGCATTACCTTAAAATGACACTAAGTGTCAGTTCTTACAGTGAAAAATGTGAAATGATTATTGTTGGATGAAAAGATATGCGATCTCATCTTAATGTTTGTGCCATTTTCTCCTAGGTGTCACTTTTGCAATCTTATGAGCGGGAGCATTTAATGATTTTGAAAAGTAATCACATATAGCTCTCGACATCTGAAATGTTGATTGAGAGGCATCTACTTCAAAAATGTCAAATCAATCAACTACTCAAAAGATCTTGTACGAAAGATCTTTTGGAAGATATAAAGCAAGAAGATGCCTCATCATGTTGAAAGGCTAGTCGCTTTGGAATCACTTTGAAATAGGTTGTGACATCTCGCTTCGGTCATGAAGGGATGGTCTCATACACGATGATTCGACTGATGATGCATCACTTCAACTACGTATGTTTGAAGGCCTTGACTAGACAAGGTAGGATGGTGCATGGCGTGTGGGCCTTTGTTTGTTTATTTACCTGTTTGCCACGTGGTGCTTGGAGCCTCATTGGACGAGACATGACCGAATTTGTTTGGACACGAAATATTGTATGTAACTGCTAATAATTATGAAAAACAGTTAACCATCCAATATAAGTCTAAATCTGTAATTAACATCATCAGATTTTATGGGATTGATGACATTACATATTTTTTCAAAATGTTAGATTCTATGAATTGTATCCTTGTGAAATATTACATTTTAGCCAGTTTTTTTATTACAAGAAGGCAGAAATAAAAAAGAAATAAATTATTCCTTGTTGTCCAATACCACCAAGCAAAGTGATTGATGAACACCAACCGATCTACCAGGAAAAAAGAGCACATTAGAGAATTCACTTCCATTACATGTCCTATTTCAGTAATTTTCTCGATATTTTAACGAGAAAATTACATCAATCTCTTCTTTTTAAATTTCAATATCAAAAATAAATTCTACTTAATTTTTTTCAATATTCAGGTGCTAATTATATTTTTTTAAAACAACTACACCCCACTAACACCGTACCCATCCCAAACCGAATAATCTCTCTCTACACAATTTCTCAATCGACCATACCGACTCTCAAATAGGTAAAATCGGAAGATCAAAAGGGGAGCACAACCTTCTAGCCCTGCTAACGGTAGCAAAATTTACCATACTAAATCTAAGTAGTCCGATCAACTTCAACCTGGATTCAATCAATCTTAGTCATACGTTCAACACCACCTCCACCTGCACCTCTGTGACATCGTCTTCCTCATTTTCTCCTTCGGACTTAGTTCGACGATGTGTGATCTCGTGTGTATGTGTGCAGCGCGCGACCAATCTATATGTATGCATACTTATTTATGTGTGCAGATCTGTGTATGGAAATGACGTCGATCTTTGTATATGTGTGGTAGTGCGGTTGCAGTTGCGATTGTTGGGTGCAAGCAATGGTGGTTCGTTGGAGGTGGTGGTGGTAGACTGTGGATGTAAGGCGGCGGCGACGACGACGACGACGTTTATATTGTGTCTGGTATAAATTTTCAGCAGATTTATAGCAAGAAAATGACCGTTGTTTTTCAACCGATGGGTCCCACTTGTGAGTAAGGAAGTCAACTTTGGCTACTAAGATTGCTTTCCAACGGTTCAAAAATTCATTTCTTGACTTGAATAATTGATATCAGACACACCCTTAGAGTGGTGCGACGGTTGTAGAAGGAGTGATTGAGGTGGATTATATGAATGGTAATTTGTGATCATGTAATTGGGTAATTACGATCAGTTAATTTGATAATTTATGATTGATGGTAAGTTGTGAACAATTAAATTGATAATTTGTAATCGATAAATAAGTTGTAACCAATTAATTTGATAATTTTTTATCTATAAATAAGTTGTGACCTACAAAATTTGTAATTTATGACTGAAAAATAAGTCATAACCAATTAACTTGATAATTTGCAACCAATAAAAAAAATTGTGATCTAAAAAGTTTGTGATTTGTGACTAGTATGTAATTGTGACCATAAATTGTATGTTATTGTGACATTAACTTATTTAATTAATACCACTACTTTTTAAAGAATTCCACAAAATTGNTTATTTAATTAATACCACTACTTTTTAAAGAATTCCACAAAATTGTCCAGTTTAAAAATATATCTTTAAAGGTTGGTAGTTATGTATTTTTCCATATTTTCATTATCTAACTAGCCCGGCCTCCTATAATCTCCAGCAACATGGGGCAGTGTTCTAAATGGTGCGTTTTGGCGGCGCCTAGGTGTGAGGCTTGGCAAAAATGCTACGCCGAGAACCTACGCGATAATTTAGTGATCAACAAAAGCTTTGATCACTTTAAGGCATGCATTATTATTATTTTTATAAAATTTTAATTTTTTACACTACATGAAGTTTTCAACTTTTAGGTCAATTGGGTCGAAAGACTAATAATTGTAAAAATTTTAACTTTTAAGCCAATAGATTGAAAAGTCAAAAAGTGGCTTACTGACTATTGGTCTATTAATTTATAGAGGCATCTTCAAGGATTTTGTTGTAAACTTCCAATGTCGAATAAGAATTCATTTTGTTGTACATTGTACCTTTGGTTTGACTGTAATGTATTGTACCTTTAATTTAGTTATTGTGTTTTGTACATTTGGTTTGGTTGTAGAGTATTGTACTTTTGGCTATATTTTATTATACTGTTGTATAAATTGTTATTTATATTTTGTGAAGTTAATTAATCATTTTCCTATTTTTTACTAATTAATAAAAATTAAAAATTCTCCAAATATTTCAATTAACATTATCATAATATATCTTGTTTATTTTCCGAAAATATATTTATTTTGTTAAGCTCTTAAAATTATATTTGATTCTATAATTTGTATGTATTATTAGATGATTTTTAAATTAATTAAAAACTTAAAATAATATTAAAAATAAGAAAAAAAAATTCGGTCTTTTTACGCCTAAGCCTCGCCTAGGCGCACATTGATCGAAGTTTGACATTCACACATCGTCATGCATCATGCTTTTTAGAATACTGGTATGTAGACAAGAAATTAGAAATGACAATGAGGCGGGTTCGGGGCGGGGCACCCTCGCCCCGCCCCACCCCACCCCACCCCACCCCACCCCGTCCCGCCCCGCCCCGTGAGCCTCCACACCTAAGACGGGGCGTGGCGGGTTCGGGGGGCGGGCTTACCCCGTTTTCTGCCATGCTTATTTATTCATTTTTTTCAAAAATTTCCAATTAACAAATTAACTATTTTTTTGTTTTTAATTTGTAATTAATTATTTTTTTATTTTTCACGGGGCGGGTTCTGGGCGCTTCGGGGCGGCGCACCCCCTCCCGCCCCGTCTCGCCCCACCAACCCTTCGGGGCGGAGCGGGTTTTTTTGCCATCTGTACAAGAAATGCCCCATTTTGATCTAGCCCAAGAACATGAAATGCGGGTCAGCCCACTTTTTGTATACAAATTTTCATAGTGCCCATCACTCTTGGAAGAAGAGGCCCAAAGTACGGCTCGCACCACCAAAACCCTAGCCGTTCATTTATCAGCGTACTCGTTTATAAATCCGTCAAATTTCTAGGATTCTCAATCAGGCTTATTGCTGTACGGCTCTGAGGTAATTCTATTTTCTCTCGATTTCAGTCTCAGTTTAGAAAATTAAATAATATAATTTATGCTTTTATTTTGATGTGGTTTGGTTATAAAATCTGTATCTGGGTTATGATTATTGCATTTTTAAGTGACACTTCTGGTACGATAGTAATATCAAAGCATTTTTGAAGTTAAATCTGAATTTGGCTAATTTTCGTTTGCTTTCTGAGAGATTTATGATGTGGATATAGTTTTGAATGATTTGTGAGATGTTTTGGATCTGGTGGACATGTTATGATTGTTCCATATTCTTTGGATGATTGAAATGCACTCCGTAGAGTAAAAGGACTGAGTAATCAAGGCTGGAGTCTCGGAAGGGCTCTCTTTTGCCAACACCTTTTTGGATGTTTGGGAAGAAATACAATTGAGCCCGAGAATTGGCATAATAAATCAATGCCATAGGCCTTTGGTTTGGGGGCAGCATTTCTATTACTCTGATAGGATATGGTAGTAATCCAACATGTCCTTCTAGTCATGGAGATAGCTGATTCCTGGTTTTTATTGCTTTAATGCTATCCTTTGCTTCACCAGCTTTTGAGTCTTAAACAATTCTTAAAATCAGATCTGAAATATCATGTTTTTTGTTTTCTCGAACATACAAATTTTAACCACTGTTTCATTTATATGATAATCATTTTTTTATTTTAAAATGTACTGTCAGTGAAAAGATTTATTATCTATTTTGGTACATAAGTCACTAGTTTGTAAGGTTTCTGCATTTTCCATATCCTAATGTTTACCTTTTAGTTGACTCCAAGATTTTGCACATCCTTTTGTTTCTCATCTCCCTAGATTGATATGTAATTGATTCAGCGGGTGTTGGAAACCCACATGGCAAATTATTGAGGAAACATCACCACGTTGTTTTTCTAAAACATTCTAAAACATGCTATATCTTGTGTTTACCTGTAATTTTACCCAATGGTATGTCATATTACACGAGAGTTAAATTAAAGTTCACGAGTTTTTCAGAGTAATTAATACCAGGGAACAATGTCTCACCGCAAGTTTGAGCACCCAAGACATGGTTCTTTGGGATTTCTCCCAAGGAAAAGGGCATCTCGTCAAAGAGGAAAAGGTATTGAGCTATGTTCCTATCTTCTTTTGCTTATGCTGTAATTTCTGCTAGATTTTGTATATTTTCTAGTAGTTCATCTATATCTACTTGTATCTATAATTGCTATCCTTGGGTTTAGGGTCCTTCAGTGTGTGCTTTTATTTTTTCTTCAAATAAGGTTTTCTAACAGCAACTTTAACATTCCTTGTCTGGTGGTCATAAATGTTGTTGTCTTTTATGAAATTTTGTTTCTAGAGGTTGGAAAACTGTTGAGAAGTTCATGTACCTATTGACTATTGTTGACTGTGACCTTTAATGCATGCTTTTATTTTTATTTTTTTGAATATGGTTTGCATAGCAACTTTCGCTACCCTTCTCTGGTAATATTGTTGTCTTTTATGAATATTTGTTTTTAGAGGTTGGAAACTGTTGAGAAGTTCATGTACCTATTGACTATTGCTGACCGTGAGATACAGAACTAAATAAACTTTGTAAGAACTTACAGGTCATTATGTGAAAAAGCTTCTAAGTTTGTAGGCATTGATGATATTGTACTTCACGAGCTTTTGGCGTGATAGTGTACGATTTTCTTGTGCGGTCTGTCAGTTTTATTACTTTTCAACGATTAAAGTTGTACTGATTTATTTGTATTTCTGCTGGTATTATGCCTGACAAGAGTTTTGTGGTAATAAGAGTTGTCTGTTTGCAGGCACTTTATTTAAGGAAGTCTTCCACCAGTAGGATGATTTATTAGATGCTCAAATAATCTGAATTAACGGGGAAGGCCTGAATCAAATGGATGCTTTTTTTAGTTGCCATGTCTATGATATTGGTTGATTTATTATGTGGTAGTGTAATTGTTTGATTTGTTCGGTCTTGAGTTGTTGATTGATGCCTTCGTCCTTTATTTTACATTGTCAACTTGCTTTTCTTACAAACACTTGGCAGCATTTATTTACAAGAGGGTGCTAGCATGTTGGTTATTGATTCATATATCTGCATTTGTATTTCTGCAGTGAAGGCCTTTCCCAAAGATGATCCAACAAAGCAATGCAGGTTGACTGCTTTCCTTGGATACAAAGCTGGGATGACTCATATTGTGCGAGAAGTTGAAAAACCTGGGTCAAGTAAGTTCTCTTTCTTTCCTCGACCCTAAGATTGCAGCAGAAGTAAAAATATGATGTTGTAGTTGCACTTACTTCCTTTACTATAGAAGTAAATGATGGTTGTAATTGTTTGGATAGTTTACATTTGATAAGAACCTTTCCTAAAGTCTGTTACAACATTATGGGGTTCTTTTACGAGTTTGTATCAATATAGTTTTTTTTCGCATGCCAATTGACTATGCTTCCCATTATTAGTACATATGTTACTAATTTTTTGATTTTTGATTTTTTTCCCATCTCTGTAACTCATTCGATTTTTTCATTTTGTTCTCATGAGATATTTTTTATCACGACTTATTTGCCCAGAGCTCCACAAGAAGGAGACATGCGAGGCTGTAACTGTTATAGAAACACCGCCTATGGTGGTTGTTGGAGTTGTTGGGTATGTCAAAACACCACGTGGCCTCCGTTGTCTGAATACTGTTTGGGCTCAACATTTGAGTGAGGAGGTTAAGCGGAGATTCTACAAAAACTGGTGCAAATCTAAAAAGAAGGCTTTTACCAAGTACTCCAAGAAGTTTGATACTGAAGAAGGGAAGAAGGATATTACTGCTCAGTTGGAGAAATTGAAGAAGTACTGCTCTGTCATTAGGGTTTTGGCTCATACGCAGGTGGGTACCCACTTACTCAGCACTTGTTTTGGAACATATTCCCTTCAGCAATCAGTGGTTGCGCTTTCATGAAACCACTGCTAATAGGGTTTTGCATTCAGTTACTTTAGTGGTGTCTAGTCTGGTACAATCTGACCAATACAATCTGTACTAAAATTGGACCTTTAACTCTACAATAATCTTTTGGTGTTTGTGGGTTTACAGATTCGTAAGATGAAAGGACTTAAGCAAAAGAAAGCCCATCTCATGGAGATTCAAGTGAATGGAGGAGATGTTGCGAAGAAGGTGGATTATGCTTATAGCCTTTTTGAAAAGCAGATTCCTGTTGATGTGGTTTTCCAAAAAGATGAGATGATTGACATTATTGGGGTGACAAAGGGTAAGGGATATGAAGGTGTGGTGACCCGTTGGGGAGTTACCCGCCTGCCTCGTAAAACCCACCGTGGTCTTCGTAAGGTTGCATGTATTGGTGCCTGGCATCCAGCTAGGGTTTCATTCACTGTTGCCAGGGCTGGGCAAAATGGTTACCATCATAGGACAGAGATGAACAAGAAGATTTACAAGCTGGGAAAGACTGCTCAGGAGTCTCATTCTGCCATGACGGAGTTTGACAGGTTACTGTTCTTTTACTTCTGACCTTCTCTCATAAATAGACATTACTTGTTCGTGCTAAATACTTGAACTGATGAAACTGGATAAAATTCTTTCAAATCATTCATTAAATCTGTGCCTCAAGCCTCTTAATTTTGTCAAGATTTCCATCAGATATTTCACTTGTTTTGAATTTTCTCTCATCCATCCAGTCGCGCATACGAGTTGATTATTGTTTTATTTCTTGAATGGCTTCTTTCTGATTGGGATCTCAGTATAATCATTTATGTTCTATTATATTTATTAATTTCTAACATCACCATTTCTGAAACTCTTTTTTGTTAACTAGGACTGAGAAAGATATCACTCCGATGGGGGGTTTTCCTCATTATGGCATTGTGAAAGATGATTATCTGATGATAAAGGGCTGCTGTGTGGGACCGAAGAAGCGGGTTGTCACTTTGAGGCAGTCATTGCTGAACCAAACATCAAGGTTGGCCTTGGAGGACATCAAACTCAAGTTCATAGATACATCCTCTAAATTTGGCCATGGTCGCTTCCAGACAACAGATGAAAAGGCCAAGTTCTACGGTCGACTTAAAGCTTAATAAAATAAGCATATTGGAAACAACTTTGAGATTTGAAAGGATTAGTTCTCTTTTGTTTTTCTCTTGAATATCGTCAACTTTTTATCTTTGTTTAAGAGAGTTTCAAATTGATGTTATGCTTTGTTTTGAACATCTAGTTTTGGGTTATGGCGATCAATTTTGCTTTTGATTTTCTTATATTAATTTTGCCTACTTTTCCTGAACATGTATTGTGTTTGAGTTTATGTTACTGATTTGACAGTTAGTGTCATCAACGAACGTGGAACGATTTGGATGGATTATGGTAACATTTTTCCGTGCGTTATCAAGTTCTGGAAAATCAAGTTTCAAAAAGTTACGTCAATCATCTATTTAGTTATGATAGGTGTATATGTAGACGAGTCCGCAATTCTGATTTAGTTCACCGATGGAATGGAAAAATTCTGGTCGAACTAGAGTTGTGAAATGGGTTGGCATGACTTCCAAAGTGCGAGCATGGATGTAGGCTAGAGGTCCAGAGACATTGTTATGTTGGCCTGCAATTTTTGGTGGGCTGGGCGAGGCTCGTCTGTCCAGAACTTCCCTGCACAACTATGTAGTGCGATGCAGGCCATCTGGCCCGTGAACAGCTTATATATTGTTGATCCAATTCTCATCCACTTGAATATTTACGTAGAAGTCA